TATTATTATATATATACACATTAACATACACTTTCTCACATACACGTACGCCCCTCACTGTACTTAATTATACGATAAATTTACCTGAGTAAATCGGCGTGCATGAGATCCGTGAAAAAAAAAAAAAGAAAAAAAAGAAAAATTGTTCACCCCCCTAATCGTCGCTCCACGTCCATTTTCGTAGGACGTAATGCAATAAGAGTTCGTTGAATTGAAATGAAAAAAAAAAAAAAACCAATTGCTGTTAAGATCACTGTACCTAAAATTTACGAGCGATTATTAATTCAAGTTGACCATTGTTGCGTTATTTTTCTTTATATTTCGTTTAAACAAAAAAAAAATGCTTGTTTCGTTTAGATCGCGAAAAAAGAAGAAGTATTTTTTTTTAATTTTAATTTACAAAAAAAAGAAAACGAAAAATCACGAACGTTGACGAGACCAGATGCAAATATTCATTTGTTTTACGTATATATATATATATATATATATATATGTATATTTCTATAAAAGATCCTTGCACAAAATATCGACCAACGAAAATGCAACCCCGCTTAGGACTGATCATTATCAGCATCTTCCTATCACGTAAACTTATATAAGCAGTATTGGAAAAAAAAAAGAAAGAAAGAAAGAGAAAACAGGAGGAGAAAAAAGGAAAAAAAAAAATTATATATATATATACATATATAAAGAAGATGATAATGAGATGCCTCGAGAATGGGCGGTGTAAAACCAAAGTTGAATTATTTATCGCTAACCGTTGTTATCATTGTGGGTAAAAAAAAGAGAAAAAAAAAAAAAAGATAAAAGGGAAAAAAAATAAAAAGAAAACGAAGCATAAAATTTGGAAAATATAATTATATGTATGTGTGTGTGTGTGTGTAAATAATTCGTCGAACGCGTTACGTGAGAAAAAAAAAAAAGGAGTTTATCAGGGGGAGGGCAGGGTGAGGAGGGACGGGAAGAGGAAAAAAATGACATAATAAACTATAACGGAATCGACGTATGGACAAGAAAAATCTCGATACTATTATAAAAGAATCGTTTTCTATGATTAAACAAAAAAAAATAAAAAGAAAGAAAGAAAGAAGTAATAAAAAAATCAAGTACATACATACATGCATAAATACGTAACAGTAATACGTGTATATCAATTAACTCAGCTTTTAAAAGACGATAATCGATACAAAAAAATAACCCGAAGAAAAAGAAAAAGAAAAAGAAAAAAAAAGAAATAAAATTGGGAATATATTTGTGGTATCCCCCTTGTTAGGACGATCGAATTCAGGAGTTCCTAAAGTCACGATTTCTCATATAAACCAAACACGCATGCAATCTGACCATTTTTTATCGATCTCCCATTTCTTCTTATCGTTAAGATCTTTAATATCTCGAAACATGCACTATTACATAATGACGTCTATCGAGCAAACATATCTTTCAACCAAAAAAAAAAAAAGAAAAAAATAAATAAATAAATAAATAAGTAAAGTGTAAAAAAGTAAGTACGTGCACGAGGTGTTGTGTCTTTGGGATGTCCTAAATGAATTTTTAATTATTGTAAAAAGAAACGTCGACGCGAATTTCAATTCGTAAGTCATGATTATCTTATTTTGAGAATATTGAGAAGTGGTATCCTCGAACTCGTTCTTCTTCGATTAGATAGGTGAAATAAGAGAAAGATTTAAAATTAAAAAAAAAAAACAAAAACAAAAGAAAATAAAAAAAAAAAAAAAAAAAAAAAAAAAAAAAAAAAAAAAAAAAAAAGTATAATAAAAAAGAGAAAAAAGAAAAAGAGATAAAACAAATATTATTAAATCGAGCCGAGACAATCGGAGCGGAGTGCGCAAAAGCAGTCGTAAAAGTAAATGTAATTTCTAATTTAACTGGTGTAATATCATCCTACGTACATACAGACACACGCACAAACATACACATACACGTACATATTATGCATACATGCAAACAAACATATGATATATTAAAATAGGCAGTGCAATGGTAGAACGGTAGAAATGTAATTATATTGAAAGGGAAGAGATTACGTGGGCGTACCTAATAAAATAAAAAGAAAAGAAAAGAAAAGAAAGAAAGGAAGAAAGAAAGAAAGAAAAAAATATGCTCGTAGATAGGAAAAGTTAGAAATATCTCGATCGTTGACGTTTTATCCTCTTCTTTCTCCCTTTTCGTCTCTGTCTCTTCGTCCGTCGTGTTCGTTCGATGATTTATATTCACTTATGTGAAATAATAACGAAAAATAAAACAAAAAAACATTTCAAAAGAGATCCAACAAAGAAAATCTCTTCGAACGTTATTTCGAGGAACGAAATGAAAGAATTGTCGTGCCAACTCTATTTATTATTATAAATAAATAAATATAAATAAACAAATAAATAATTTTAATTAATTAATATATAAAAGGAATTTTACGCGCGATTAATTAAAGTAAGAAATTTAACTTGTATATGGGGAATAGAGGTGACGACGTTGAGACACGAATGATTCGAAAAAAGGTGGACGGAATAAGAAAAACTTTTCAAATCGTTTTTACTCGTAGTCGCGTATTATTGAATATTATCTTCTTCTCTTTTTAAAGGATCTATCGATGTTCGATCTTTCGTGGGATCTAAAATCCGAAAGAAAAGAAGAGAAAAAAAAAAGTAAATAAAAAAAGGAAATACACGCATACACAAACACATATATATATATATATATATATACATACGTATGAATTAATATTATCAATTTTGCCTCAAAGAGAGGATAGCATGGCAATACGGGAGAGAAAAAGCGACGAAAATAAAAGATAAATATAAAAGAAATAAAAAAGAAAAAATAATAATAATAAAGAGAGAAAAACAATTATTATAAAAAATAATAAGGACACGTATTACACGTACATGATATATAGAGATATATGTATGTATAAATACGCTATTTCGTACCGCGTCGCTGCTTTCAGTTTTTAATTAAAATAAAATAAAATAAAATAAAATAAAATATAAAATAAAATATAAATGAAATGAAATGAAAATATGAAATAAAATAATAATAATAAAAAGAAAAAAAGAGATAACATGCAGTGGTCTACGATACACTCACTATACGATGTATGTATATCCTATTTCATAATATTTAAACTAAACGTGCAGATTACTAGAAATTTTCTATTTTTTAATCGAAACGCGCCAAACGCCGACACGTCCTCGCGCTCGTTATTTTTTTAAAAGGATACACCACTAACGCAGGAAATTGTTACATATCATTGTTAAGTTAATTGTATATACAAAATCACAAACACACACATCATACACACGTATACATCAATACATACAAGCATAAATATTACGTACGATGAGAAAAACGAAGCGCATTATTCGATCTGACAAAAAAAAATAAGAGACAAATTCACATTTTTATTCTAATTTTTCTTTGAAACAAACAAACAACAATGGTAAATAAAAAGATGATAAAAAAGAAAAGAAAATAAAAAAAAAAGAAACTTACGTAAAAAACGCGTATAAAACGAAACGCCGATTGGCCGCTTTGTAATTTGTTTTCCGTCTATGAAGGAATGAACAAAAATTCATTAATTTTTCATCTTTTTCACATCGCGATCTTTTTTTTTTTTATTTTTTTATTTTTTATATTCACCGTCAATGCGATTCTCTCACAACCGTCTAATTCTCGTTATGCATGCTAATACAAATTGAGATTGTTGATGATGTACGTCGTTTTTGCTTCGTTTAAAGCAAAACAAAAATATAAAAAAATATATAAAATAACGATAATCGTATTTTCGAAAGAACGTTCGACACACATTCATGTTCTATTAAAGAGAAAAGAGGAACAAAAAAACGTAATATCGTGTATATCAAAGCGTATATCATCATCGCGTGTTCTGAATAAATTTCGATAAGCAATTTATAAAATACATTCTCTATCAAAAAATAAAAACGAGAAAAAGAGAGAGAGAGAGAGAGAGAAAGAAGAAAAAAAAGCACATAAAAATAAAAACGTAAGATTTGAATCGCAGTCGCGTTGCAAGGAAAAAAAAAAGAACAAAAATTTAAAGAAAAGAAAAAAAAATAAAGACAAATGTCATTGCTGTCGCAAAAAGCGAATTGCAACAATATTGAGAAAGAAAGAAAAAAAGGGGGAGAAAGAGAGAGAGAGAGAGAAAAATAACCCGATAACGTTGCAATTTATTATTCCTAAACACAACCGCTCCACAATTTTTCAAGGCTAAGAAAATATTGAATTTTTTCTATATCTCGCTCGATGAACTACTATATTTATTCTTCGACTTGCGTATTTAAAAATCCTTTGGTTATATTTTTCTATATAAAAAAAAAAGAATGAAAAAGGAAGACATTATCTCTAATCTCTATTTCAAGCGCAAAATAAAATAAGAAAAAGAAAAAGAAAAAGAAAAAATCAATTTAATGCACGAATCTTCACTCTTACGCGAATGGGATTATAAGGAGAATCCGATGCCTGTGAAAAAAAGAAAAAGAAATTAAAAAATTTAAATATATAATAGCGAAAAAGGCGCAACACTTTTTTCCACTTAGGATATATTGTTATAGATAAAAAGGAAAGAAAAAATAATAAAGTTATTCACTTTGTCCTTAAAAAATTTAAACGTAACGAATAAAAATAAAAAATAAAATAAAATAATATAAATTAATATAAAACAAGAACAAAAAAAAACACGCCGAATGCTCAAGAGAAAAAAAGAAAAATAATATACATAAAACAATCTCGTATGATCCATTTACAAGCATACGATGATCACGTTATACATAATACTTGCATACATAAAACAAAATACATTTAAACATATATACATACCACAAACACAAATATCATACAGAGAATATAGATACACGTGCGCTTCTTTTTTTATTACTACTGTATAACGTGTCACACATATTATATCTTATTTGTTATCAGTTTACGAGAGAGAAAAAGCGTAAGTAAAAAAAAGTAAAAAACAGATTCATATCTCTACCATTAAGTTTACCATTATCATATATATTTAAATAATATATTATATTATCACACAATCTTTTTGCACACTCCTCGCCTTACCCTTCCTCTGTCCACTACTGTCCATCACTTGCCCAAATGTGTATCATTGTATCAACCTTCTCGAGAACAAATGGTGTTGTACTTTTTCATATAAAAGGCATTGCCAAAATAAATATGGGGTTGGAAAAACTTATAAGTAATAATGCTCGTTCAATCGTTTTTACCCCTCTCTCTTTCCAATTTCATTCTCTTTTTTCGTTTTCTTTTTTTTTTCTTCTTCCTTACAGGTTGAAGAAATATTAATTAACACGCAATACTTTACGCAAATTATTTGGACAAAATTTATTATAAAATATATTATGGATTGGTTAAGTACATATCCAACTCTACGTACGTGAACAACTTCTAATCGTAACAACTACATACATAATTAAATTCACAGTGATACTCGTTAATGAACGAAGAATCCGGTTGTAACAACATATAGATATTGAAAAGAAACTAAAAAAAAAAAAGAAAAATAAACACATTCTTAAAAACAAATAAAAAAAAAAACAAGAACTTTAATATCTAAATATTGATAAAAAAAAAACTTAATTTAAAGTTTGAACGTTTAACAAAACATTTCCTCTCTTTCGTCTTATTCATAAAATACAAATAATATAAAAATTGTAAAATAATAAAAAAAAAAATTAATCTCATGTAAAACTTTTGAATGCTTAATAAATGTTTTTCACACACTGCACTCTACTTTTAAGTTTAAATCACAACCACAAACGTAAAAATTAAGTCATCGTATTTGCGTCAACACGATTCAACATACAAATATATAGATATACTTAAAGAATATACAATTTACAGATAAAATAACAATTAGCAAGTTAGTGATCGGTAAAAACAAATGTAACATTTATGTCGTTTTCTATCCTTCTTACTTTCATTTTCTTTTATATCTTGGAAAGGGGCCTAAGTTATAGGGATTATTCGAAAGGCTACTTATCGTTGTCAACATTTAACACGGAAAACTTTTAAAGCACCAATTATAGTACTCAATATTTAACGTACTTTCTTCATCGTCTACATATAAATTTTGCAAATTCACAAATTTTGATAAACTGGCCCCAAAATATCAGTCTTTTAATTTGAATTTTGTTAGTTCCATTAATTAGAAGCTTAACATGGAACATCGTATAAATATTTGCTCTATGTTTGTGTCCAGTTAAAAGCTTCTATTGTATAATAATCGATGCTACGTCTAACGAGCAGCCCATGTCCTTAATAATTTGAAATACGCATAAATATTTAAAATTAAATAATAATATCTATATCATAAGAAACCCATCATATAAGACCTGAGTAACTCTTTCTTCCGAAGATAAGCAAAGAGAAAACTCAAATAATATATTCTACCTCGTCTAAGGAAAACTACATTGTTTTTTCATCGAGATATGAATTATTTACAACGTTTGACATTTTTTTTTTTGTCAAAATTCAGTCGTACATAATATTCTACCTTGTATTACAAAGTTAATAACTATTATTATTTAAACGAAAACAATGACGAAAATCAAAATATACTACGATATACCAATCTACACAACAACGGACTGCAATCTATGCATTGATTATAGAATAATACCTTTACATGATATCTCTTATTGATTACTCTAAGGATAAAAAATAAATTCAAATAAACCTAGGGCATTTGATTATCAAGAGACTTCTGAGCACCTTTCTTAACCTTTTTTTTCTGCCTACGTTAGCATTCTTCACACGCACGCATCATTTCAGTCTCACTCTATAGATTGTGTTATTTATTTGTATGTGCCCTTCTCTAAAAAAAAAAAAAAAAGAAAAAAAAGTTAAACTGTCTACAAATAAATAGGAACCAGCCTGTGCATTATGTGAAGTCACTAATTAACAAAAGAAATCTCCTAATCATGAACGATCAAGTGATAACCAATGCTAAATATTTAACACAACGTAATATTACAGAAAAAATAAACTGCATAAGAACATATATGGTGTATGTTTGCATTTCTTTTTTTTTTTTAACGAGTTCAACTGATTATCTGATTAACTAGAACTATAATAGCTATATCATCACCTTCCTTTTTTTTGCATGTGCCACTTTAACCACACTCGTAGTCTCCATAATCAAAGTTTCTAATATGGCTACTGTGAGTCCATTTTTCACTGCCAACTCATCATGATGAAACTTAGTCCATTCATCTTCTTCAGCTTGGGCCTCTCTCGCTAATAATTCGTCGACTCTATCCCTACGTTTTCTACTCCAACGCATTACCATATTCTCCCTTTGTAATTTAGTTTTGAATCCAAACAATGTCGCTACTTCCTTACTAACATATTCATGAAGCTCTTCTACTGTCTTTGGAATTTTCATAGCTGGCTTTGTTTTTACATTCGGCTTCATCCAACTTGGACCAGGTTTCTCATATTCCGCTTGATAAACTTCCGAAATAGTTTCCTTACACAAATCGAAAAGGAATGTATTGTAGATCTTTCGATCTTTTTTCGCGATCTCGTTACTTTCTTTTGTTAATTCGTAAATTTCCGGAGGAGCTTCTAAAGTCATAATATCTTGTCCGGATTGTTTAGCTTTGTATATTAAAGCTGTAGCCTTTTCCGTGAAAGCTGTTAACTCTTCGATATTCGAAGGAATTACTGCAGGAGGCGGAGAAGGTGAAGCAATAGCAATGGAAATTCGATTATCTCCTGGAGGTGTATATGGTGGTGGAGGTTTATTCGGTATTTCTCTAACATAATATACCTCTTCAGCTTCCAATTTTTTGATCTATAAAAAAGGAAAAAGAAAAAGATATTTTTAGCGCGCAATTTATTTTAAATAATGTAAAATAACTACCAAATGTATTACCTCTAATTCAATTTGAAGTTGTTGTATACGAAGTAGCTTAGCCTCCAAGTCAGCAACTTCTAAGCCTGGTTGTTTCAATGAAGCTGTAGGCATTAAAAATTGAATAATATTTATCAAATGTGAATATAGTATGTAACAGTATGTATAGGAAAAGCAACAAGATTTGTTACAATACATTAGGGATAATATTTTACAAATTTTAGTGCTTCAGAAAAATAGGGAAGATAAAAGTAGTAGAAAAATTGGAATATCTTTTCAAGGCACATATGAAACCAATGCTAAAATGTGAGAAAATCAAACATTCTAGTATGATTATAAAGACTTTTCTTTCTGAAAATATGTATATATATACCTATATACATATATATATATATAGAAGAATCATATAAACGTTGTTTGAATGTGTCGTGATTTACAACATTTACAAATCTTCTTGTGCATCAACAAATTAATAAGGTTCAAGCATTCATGCAACACTGATTAGTACAAAATGAACAAGTTAATGTTCGTTTCATTCGAAATTTCATGATGTATTACCTTTAGGTAAATATTATCTCGACTTTGCTATTCTGAAAATAAATAACATATAGCTATACCAGGCAATGCTTTGCATAAGAACGCTCAGCCATTATGAAAATTGAAATAGATAAGATAAAAGTGCATATTTCCTTTTTTTTTCGCTGAAATTCACTTCACATAAACTGCATGACATCATTTTCAACCCAAAATTTGTCGTTATAATTTATAAAAAATCAATCATTTCACATATATTTTTTTTACAAATATAGACGAAATATTAATCAAATGGTAATTACTATAAAGAGTTTAAATGAAGTTCAATACATAGAATTATGTAAACGAATTTACATAAAAAATTTGATGAATGAAGATACAGAATCAAAATAATACTTAGAAAATCAAACACATTTATGATTATTTTCTATATATAAATTGATATATCTTTAAATAATAAATATAAAACAGAGATTATAAGAATGAAACTATCTATACTTCATTCATGTTGTAAAAATCTTAGCATAGACAATAATAATTGTAAAAGAAAAAAAATACCTTTTATTTTATCGATCATTGCTTCTATGTCTTTTTCCGATGTAGTAACAATAGGTGTTGCGTGAAAATCCGTTTTTGATTGATCTTGTTTTCCTATATTCGTATTACTAAGTAGATCATCGTCCAAGGCATCAATATTCAATCTGGAGTTATTTAGATCTCTTGGTGAATCTATTTCTATTTCTGATACACCAACAGGAGTATCACCGCCCTCGCTAGAATCAGATGATACATCTTCGTGTTTCTGTATCGCGCTCTGATCTACGTCACTTATTACTTTAACGTCTTTTCCTTCAGATTGAGATAATAGATCATTCAGTTTATTAGAAACTTCTTCAGTTTCAATTTCAGTCAATTTGGAATTATCTGATACTGTATCTTTCATAATCTCAATATTTGGATCAGTTGATTGTTCTATTTGTATTATTTGATTTTCATTATCTATTAAAGATGGATCAGTCACTTCTTTAGTAGACGTTGTTTCAACTGGTTGCACTTCTTTTTTATCTTCTTGTAAAGTTTTTATCAATTCTGGCAATGATTTTTGAGTAATTTCATCTAGTATCCTTAATACTTCAGTATTGTGCACTGCTTGATAATTTTCTGATATCGTCGTTCCCTTTTGTAAACTTTGTGTTTTTTGACTTTCTGTTTTATCAAGAATTTCCGATACTTCAAGACTTTCCTCAGAGATATCTTCATATTCGGGATCTCTTAATACTTCAAATTGTGCTTTAGCAATAATATCAATAGCATTTGTTGTAGCTGTATTTTGTTCCTGCGTAAATTGACAATTATTCGAAGATTCATTTTCTCGTGAAAGATTTCTTTCAATATCTTCTTGTTTATTATTTTCTGATAAGCTAGCACTCTTATTAGAATGTATTTCTGCTGCTTCAGAAAGTTTTTCTATCACATCTAAACTACTTTCCGCAATTTCAACTAAATTATCAAGTTGTTCACCCTCAGAACTTTCTGGTTCTGGTAATGATTCTAAATCTATTTGTTTTTCAATTATTGGAGATTTACTTTCTTTTTCGATAGCAGTAAGATAAGTTACGTGAGATTCCTTATTTTCATTGTGAATATTATTTTTACCACTTAGTTCTTCATCGGATAATTCAATCTTAGTACTAATTTCTAATTGCGGTAATAAATCTTCAGTACTTTCTGAATCAGATTTTGTGATTATTATTTCTCGTGACTGAACTATTTCTTGTTGGACAGTATCTTTACTTTCTATTTCTAAATTTAATTCAATATTTACCACAGATACATCATCTAATTTATTGGATGGAATATCTATCGCGTCACTACTTGCATTAATACGATTTTTATTGTATTCTAAATATAATGGAGTAATATTAATTGTATTATTGTCACTTGTTGACAATTTGTGAATCTGCAACTTATCATCAAGTGTAGAATCGCATGTAATAGATGGGAATGGACTTTCTATCGTAAGATCCATATTATCTGTTTCTAAGATAATCTTCGTTTGAATGCTAATTTCATCCAATTTATTGTTGTCATTTTCTTTTCCTAAAGTAATGGATGATTTAATAGATTTTATATCGTTTATGGTTTCATTGGTTTTGTCTGTTCCTACATATTGCTTTCCTTCTTTATCATACACTTTATCATTTTCTCTGGCAATTATATCTAATATATCATCAAGCTCATCAGCAGTTTTTTCAATGTCAGTTTCATTAATCTTTAAATTAAGAGCATCAATATTTGTAGATTCTGCCCTTGGTAAAAGCATAGACTCATCTTCTATACTAACAGATAAGTTTTCTGTAAAATCTTGAACGACATCATTTTCTTCTTCCGATATATTTTTATAATCAGAACTAATATGAATGTGCGATTCTATTTCACGATTCTCTGTTTGTTCCCCTTCATTTTCTTCTTCATCGTGAGCAATATTAAATGAATCAGATATAGTCCAGTCATCTTTATCTACAGACATTTTCTCGGTGGAAATGACTTCAGATTGATTTTCTTCAACATTGAAATCACGTTTAATTAAATTCACAGACAATGTATTTGCATTTTGTGAAATTATATTCTCTTCGTCTTTACTATTAGAAATATTATATTGACCTGTATTTATTTCTTCTTTATTAGTAAAGTCTCTTGAAGATAAATGTATTTCATTATTTTCAGCGGAAGAAATATTTTCAATTTGTAAACTATCTTTATTATCTTTAAATTGTGAAATATTTTCTAAATGTAATATGCTTTCATTTGCTATTACATCATTGCCTTTTTTCAAACTGTCGTCTTCAGTCATTGGGCCTTGTTCTGATATATTCGTTGAAATTGATTCTATATTTTCAGAAAGATTTTCTCCGTATGATTCCTGTGCTACAAGTTGAACATCTACACTTTTATCATCAATCATTTCTTTGTCCAAAGGAGTATTACTTTCAGATGTATCCTTCGCATAATTAAGACTTTTATTTTCTTCTATGGATATTGGTGATTCTGATTTTTTATTAATATCTGTAGTAGGTAGATAATACGGAAAATCTTTATTAAGTTTTTGTATATTTTGTGTATTTGTTTCCAATGGTATAATTGAAGAATTAGTGTCGCCTTCAAATATTTTTGCATGCTCGGATATAATAGATTTTTCGATTTCATTTAATATCTTCTTACTTTCCGCTTTATAATCTATTTCTTGATTTGATTCGGAAAATATTTCTTCTTCCGGAATTAATCCAGATATAACGTGACTTACATTTTCCGTTAAATCTGCAGGATCACTGGCGGGTTTTAATTTTGAAATGTCTGTAGAATGACTTGAAATTTCAATATTAATATCTGTTTTAATAGGAATTTCCGTATCTGTAATATCCGATTGAATTGTTTTATCTTTTTCTTTATTAGAAATTAATGTGTTATTGTCGATTAGCTCAGATTTCGAAAAGACTTCTGATATATCTTTTAAGGTACTTTTTTCTTCTTCATTATCATGCTTTTCATTGGATAAACTACTAATTCGTAACATCATTTCTGATAGAGCCTTAAGCTCGTTTTCAAGGCAATTAATATCTTCATTTAGATTTTTATTATTTAGTTGTAAAAAGTGTAATTTTTTAGAATAAGTAAGCGTTCCACTATCATTATTAGTAGCAAGTTCCATATTGGAGCTTGGTATATATGTTTCTGATTTATTTGAAATAAGCTTTGAATTATTTGTTTTTGATGTTTCTATTGTGTTGGACTGTGACACAAGATTTTTTAAAGGCACTTGTTCAACATCAATTAAATCCGATTTTGGTTCTATTATTGCAAGTTGATCACTCCTATAACTCTTGGATTGTTTTAATTCAGATGTTGTAAGAATATCTGTATCGGTATTTATTACACTAACTTCATCTTTAATATCTCTTGAATTATTGTCAGATGATATTGCAGCTGTTAATATTTCTGGTACAGAAACAAGCGTGTGATTAGTTTGAGTTCCACTTGAATGGAATGTGGTATTATAATTTGTAGCTTTCTCGCCTTGATCATCGTCGGAAGTTGATGACATTGAAATAGACCTGAGTTTTTCATATTCTGTATCTTTCAAATCTGCAAATATGGATTGAACATTATAATGAATATCTTGTTTTTTAGTGTTCGACGATTCCACCAAATTATTCCTTTTAATTATTTGTGATGGTTTTGAAAAATTTGTTTCTTCGCTTTTACTCTCATATACTAAAGATTGGATGTTTTTAATAATGCCTTTTTGCTGAATTTTTGTTGATAATAAATCAGATTCTGATCTTGAACGTAATAAGTCACTTTTTTTATAGATTTCTTGTATTCTCTTAAGTGGAATATCAGGTACTTTAAATTCTGCCAATGATTTAGACTCTATAGCCAATCTGTCATTATCCTTCACAGTTTCCTTTCTAGATTCCAATTTTTTTCGCATCTCATGAATAGTTGTATCATATTTCTATTTAAAAATAAAAAACCAAATATGTTAGTATTATATAGTCATATTAAATATTTCTGTGGAAATAAGATTAAATATATACCTTAATTTGGTTTAACAAATTTGCTTCTAATGCTTTTAGCTTTTGTTTTGTTTGTTTTCTAGCTTCCTTTTTTAAACGTGACATTTCTATTCTACGCTCTGCTAATTTTTCTGTAAGTAATTCTATTCTTCCTTCCACGTCACTCGTATCGGATGAGAGTGTGGAATCTATAAAAAAAGAAATATAAATTCTTTATAAATAAAATCATATAATAATTGAATATGAAAAAAATCAATATGTAAATATTAAAATACCCTACCTTGATGAGATAAAGCAGAAGTTGTAGTGACAAGCTTATAAGCTGCTTGTTCCATCCGTGCTACACGTTCTTCTTCAGCTCTTAATCGTGCATCCCATGCCATCCACTCTTCTACACAATTCCTACGTGAAACAAGTGCTGCTTCTCTTGCATTCAAGATTCTGTATAATACATTATTAATTAGTTATATTCATATAAGATTATATCATATATAAATATTGTGTGATAAATAATTAGCAATTATTGATTAAATGATTACTATATGATTGAATAGTTATAATTATGAAAAGATTAGATTATATATAAAATTTTTGCACCAAATATAAATTCTACGATAACACCAGCATGCAGTTTGCCACTAAAGAGAATCTATTTTTACAATGGTTGACTTCATGGTGAATTCACATTTTTGGTTTATTATTAGAAATCTTATATATGGCTACAGAGATTTAGTAAATTATTCATTTAATTATTAATAGTGAAATGTCAGAAAAGAGAAGAATCATGACTGTTAAACATAAAAATTACTTTACTAAATATATGTAATAAAGTATTACTTACTGTTCAAGCTTTTTTGAAGTTTTAAAATCATGATTTTGTGATCTGATAACTATTGATCTAGTATATTCTTTTCCATTATCTACAGTATTATGATTAGAAATAGCAAATGTTCCAAGCTGAGATCTTGTAGATATATCACCACAGTTTTGTGCGTTCTTTCCTTTGTCCTTAGAAGGATAATTGTTGTCGCTATAATTTTCAAGACTTCTTTCAAAAACATTTTCTACTGAAATATTTTCTTTGCTTTCATCTATTATATCGGCAAATAATTTAGAATTTTTATCCTTCATAGCATTCGATTGCCTGAATAAAACTTCAATAGCATTCTGATTAATAGTCCGATCGGTACTAAGATCAAGCTTATCTAAAATTGAGCCTTCATCATTTCTATCCGATTGAATGAACTCGTTTTCTATTTTTGTGCGTTTGTTATGGTGTTTTGTAAATTCTTCTATTTGAGAACTCGATTTTGATCTTAGTATATTTTCTGTCAATATGGTCGATGATGATCTTGTTCTTTGACATTTAGAATTTTTCCGTTTAGTGCTTGCCTTAAGCTCAGAATTTTGTTGAAACTTTTTAGTAATTTCTTTATCGCTAGAAATTGACTTATCTGTTTTCTTTGAATTTCTTGAATAAGTTTGAAGAGTATCTTCAGAAACTTGAGAAGACTTTGATGTCTTTGACAAAGCATCCTGTTCAACGGAAGTTATTAGTTCTTGTATCGTTTCAGTATTTACTGCAGTATCTCTGGAAAATGGTTCCTTCTCTTTTAAGGGGGTTACACTTCGAAAATCAACTTGTGATGATTTAGATTTTTTTGATAATTCGTCTACTAAAGTATCAGATTCTGACTTAACATATTCTGTAATTGAGTTATCTAAATCTTGTAATGATTGTAAACTAATAGTCTTTTGTTTCTCATGTACATGTCCAGCTACATTCACGCAATGTCCTTGCATCAATTTGGATTCAACATCAAGCTGATGAGATCTTAATTTAATAATATCTGCTTTAGGCATTTTATCTTCAAATTTACGGGATCTCAATTCGTATTTTAATTTATTACTACTCTTCGGAGAATTAACAGCATATTTGTTTTGTGATTTTAAATCTTCTATAGTGTCGTTTAATTTATCATATTTTAATAATGAAATATTAGATTCGTCTACTAAATTTGCTATTTTTTCAGTACTCGATAAATTTATTTTCTGAAATTGCAAATCATTTTCTGTTAGTGGTATCTTCGAATCTATATGTGATTTATCGTGTAGAGATTTATCATGTAGAGATTTATCAGAATCTACTAAAGAACTCATTGAACTGTTACTACGAATATCATAACCTTTCATTGGTCCACATGATCTACGTGGAGAGTGACTATCAGCACTTCTTTTTAATTTTGTTAAAATATTTTTCGTAGACATTTGAGGATTAAGCATATTTCTTTGTTTCTGTAACATTACTTTACGTTCTTGACTTGCAATTTTATGAAGTTCTTTCAATCTGTTTTAAAATAAAAATATCACATAACGTTATTCAAACTATTGTAATAATGAATAATACAAAAGAATAATTATAGTCGCTTACTTATTCATTTCATCTTTCTCCTGTTGTAATTTTAATAATAAAGCTCTTTGCTTTTTCTTAACTGAACTAATACGACTATCTTGACCAGTATCCCTCAGTGCTCTTTTTTGCTCTTCCAATTTCACTAACTTTTTGGTTCTATCATGTAATGTTTTTTCACGCGATTTAAATAACATTTCTATTTTGTCATATCTTTGTTTTTCATCTCTTATCAATTGAGCAATCTAATGAAATAAAAGTATAATATATTTTATAAATGTCATAAATATGCATTCATGTTAAGAAATAAAAAAAATAAAAATTCCTGGTCTTACCTCTAAATCGAGATTTTTGTTAAAAGAACAAGTTACATCTCTCGTAGAAATACTAATTTCTGTACCAGTTTCTGTTTTTATAGAAGATGTAGTTTCATGTAAACTGATTTCTGACATTGTTCTTACTTTACTAGTCAATGAAAGATCTTCTAATTGATCCAAATCTTCAAATTGATCTCTAGAGCCTAAAGAAAGTAATGGAATTTCATAATCTTCTAAAGATAATTCATGTCCATGCGTATTTTCATGAATTTCCAAAAAACTATTAGTTAAACTACGTCGGCCTGGACATATGTCAGTTTGAGTTCCAATATCATTCACTGTTTGAGTTTGAACTTCTGCTACTTCAATGATTGATTTATTCCATTTTCTTAAATTATTATTTTGTTCTTCTGTTTCCTCTTTCTGCATGAATACTTGTTCATCGATGGAAGAAGCTTCATCAATTTTATTTATCATTCGTTTATCAGTAACAACTTTTTCTATGCTTGTATTGTCATTAATTTGTGATACTATTATGAAAAAAGAAAAAATTATAATTAAATTGTCATTTTAAAACCTATAAAACATTTATGTATAATGAATTATATTCAAATTATACATTTATAATAATTTACCTCTATCAGCATTTTTCTTATCTATTGTAGTGTTTTTTCCCATATCATCTAAATGTAATATAAAATCATCGGCAGCTTGACTTTGTTTCTGTATTAATTCTTTTTCTTGTTCATTTTTTACATTGTAAAAACTTTTCTCCACATCCATAACTTGTCTCAATGATTCATTCATCGAATCTAATAAATGCAATTCTGCTTGAAACTGCATATGCAAAGCGGTCGGATGTAACTGAAAAAATGCAAATTTGTTAAATTTAATAATTTTACAAAATTAATACATCCATAAAATATCGCATACAATTTTATATATACTCACAAGTTCTATTCCATGCTGAATTGTTTCTGGTTTTTTCTTCGAAGTTTTTGCACCATCAACATTGGCATCATTACCCTGTGCCATTTGTTTTTTTCTTTTCGATCGAAATATAAGATTCATATCAGGTGTAACTAAATCGCGGAATTCTTCTTGTGTATAATTACTATCTCTAAAAGTTATCCATCGTGGGTCTAGCAAGGCTTCTCGTAATAAGCTTTCATTTAAATTACTTAAATCATTATTACTACTTTGAAGTTTATTAGATACATTAACATCTTGAGAGAAAGCCTCATTTTTATTGCTGCTCGTGTCTGTACATTGTACAGAAGAAGAATCTTCATTATAGTTTGAATGTTCATAATCTTTTCCTGATTTTTTCAAATGTAAACTTTGAATTGTTTTAAATTTATCAGTATCTTTATACTTTGATAGTTCAGTAAAAACTGTAGAACAGGTATTGTTGCGTTTTTTTATACTGCTGTTAGAGTCAGATATAATCTCAACATCACCAGAGGTATCTGAATACGTAACATAATGTTTTCCTTCAATTCTATTTATAGACGTCTTAGTTTTGTTATATATTCTCTTGTTATACTCTTTAATTCCTATACCTGCTTGTTTGTTAACAGATTGATTTGATACTTTATTTTGTTGTTTCACTTGCTTATTTTCCAATTTATATTTGTGCTCATCAGTTTGTTTCAGTGACTGCAAATCTTCTTTGCATTTGTATTCTATGCTATCAAATACCATATTTTTAAGTGTATCTTTTATTACATTTTTTTCAGATGGTTTTATAGTGCGATCCGAATGAGATTCATTATTACTTGCCTTATTTTTACATTCTAAAGAAGTATCTCTTAATTTTGTAGATTGTACATTGGAGCATCTATGCTTTTTATCACTATCCTTTCTAGTGGTAGAAGTTGCAAAATTTTTAGTCTTTGGTTTAGTCAATACAAAATCACATTCTCTTGGTACGCATAAAGGCAAATGATCACTTTTAACTCTCCCTACTGATACAGAGCCACTTGTATTGTCTGTAATATCTTTTCTAGAAACATGTCTTGGGCTTTTAGATCTTTTACTAAAATCTGAAGAAGAATACAATACTTCATCGCTTTCTGTATACGAAGAATCATCTTTTCTTATTCTTTTTGATCTATTTTCCTTCTCCCTAGAATTTTCTCTAACACCATGCTCTTTTTTTTTAGAGAAATTAGAAGCTATTGAAACATTAGGTGCTTTTAAAGGTTCAACATTTTCGCAAGCTACTACAGATGGCCCCTCAGACAATGAAAAGTCTAGCTTTCTTTGTACTCTTTCCCTCGATGTTTTTTCTGATCTTTCAGGCACAAAATCATTGGATGATACAGCCAATTTTATTCCAGCAACATCTTTCGAAGTAGGATTGTCTTTAGAAGAATAATCTAAGGTTTTAGCGGACATTTTTAAATCCGGTACTTTTATTGGCTCTCTAAAAGCCATATTTTGCATCGCTTGATATAAATTATGATTACTGCTAAGTTTTAATTCTTTTGAATACACTTCACCTTCTGTTTTATTGCCAAAGTCGTATAATTTCTTCTGCGTATTTGGATGGTCGCCAAGAGAAAGTTTTCTTTTAACTGCACTGATAAATGTAAATGGATATGGTTGAACAGGATGAAAAGACAACAAATTTTCTACATTTTTAAAATCAAGTTGCGATGTGTTATTAGATGTTTCTTTCAAATCTTTCTTACTATCATCTATTTGAAGCTTTTTTAATCCAAGATGTGTCTATAATTATAAAAATAAATCTCATGATACAAAATCTAATAAATTATTTACTTACAAAATCTAATAAATTATTTACTTACATTAACCAAATTCTCTGCACGCTTAACAATAATATCTGGGTCATTAAAGAAGACATATTTTTTTTTAAGGCCTATGTCTTCTTTTTTATCATTACTACTCATATTTTCATTATTAAAAGATGTAGATACCTCTAAGTATAACTACTTTTTGTAAATCTATAGATTTACGCTTATACGGTTTTCCCTTATTAACTATTGCTGAAAATGAAAATAATAAGTCAATAAAAATATAACACATTTTTAAATAATCAACTTATATACACTTCACGCAGTACTTAATTTGTTTAATGTTATTTAAAATAACTATTTATATAGGATGTCCTGGTAATACAAGCAAACGGAAAGCGATTCTATGTAAAAAATTAAATCAAAAGCATAGAATAAAATTTGTTCATAACTTTGTTTTTAAGAAAATAAGCTTGAAAATTTATAGAGTATGCGTGCACTTGATTGAATTTACAAATCTAAAAGCTAAAATCTTTGTTTGATAAGCATAAAAGTAGAATGAAAAAAAAAATACAAGAGATATAAAATGTTTGTAAATATATTAGAAAACATAAGAATACTGTCCGAAATACCTGAGAGAAAAATAATGAAATTCATAAAGCTAAAATTAAATCAAGAATCATCCTCTGCTTACTCGTACTACCAGTTATACGACACTCTCTATATATGATGACAATAAATCTAACCACAAACTGATTCTTTTTTTATTTTAAAAAACTGCATTTACTTTAAAGATGTTATAAGTATGATTCATAAATAAACAATAAATATTATTAATGAAAATAAAACAATAAATTAAACTTACACTAAGTCATTTTGCTATTGTTGAGAACATAAGGTACACAAGAATACCAAATCAAAGTAATGCACTTAATTGAGCATATTTAAAGATACCTCCAAGAAATCATAACCTATATTATAAAGAAAAATCTGCTTATATTAACTGATACTTATATCTCCTATGTAATACTGACATTTATAATTAACTATATATATGTATAACTAATTAAAATGATAATATCTTTGTTCTGATCATAATTCACATTACAATCACGACACTAGACAGAGTCGCTTAAATTGTCTACAACGGTCATTTGTATACGATAGATCACGTGGTACTCAAGAATTTACTATTGTGCAAAATTAAAGATGGCAACAATGGAACGCATTTAATCGATAATACTGCACATATATGCATCAAATAAAAAATATAAAGAAATACGAAATGAAAACATTTCAGTATTATTTACTGAAAAAAATACTTCGAAAAATGCATGCAAAATAAATTATTGCTTTTTAAGAATGTTATAAATAAAGATCGCATAGTTTATCACTAATTGTAAATTATGCACGTAAGCAATTGAATGATTTTCACCTGATTTCAACTTTCTGTGATACATTTCTGCAATATTTCAGGAGTGTCACTCTCTAATATAATATTAAATATTATTTTTTTTATAATATTATTACATTTTGAACACTAAATACATTAAACTTAGTTTATTTATTAAATATATGCTCTGTGTGGAAGAATGTATCTTTGCCAGTATCTACTAGGTTAGCACAGTATCTTGGATTTGGGGAACCTGTTTTTCTGCGAAATGATTGGTTACTCAAATCTTTCTTTTGTTTTATTTGGCGCAATTATAAGTAGAATATTATGAGTAAATTGTATTTAAAATAAAAAAGAAAAAGAAAATACAATTTAAGTCTGTAAATTTAAAAATTTGATCATAACAAAAATTTGTTGCAATAAATTAGAATATAAAATATTTCCAATAACGATTCTACTTAAATAATTAACCACTACACTTTACCTGTTGCTTATGTATTGTCTGTATATGAATGAACATAAATATATATAACGGTAAATATATATGTATGTGTATACACAACCATGCATATTTTAAAAGTTCGATTTTTTCCCTCTAGATGGCGACTGAAATCAGTCATTGAAAAAATATATCTCTGCTCAGAAAAAGTTCATTGATGAAAAAAAACTGTGAAACTCTTTTAGAAAATCATGAACAATTTCCTCTCTCTTTTCCGCGTATATGAAATATTAATTTAAATTTAATAATTATTTTTTGTTATAACAACAATATGCAAATTCTTTCTTAAAAAATATAGTTCAATATTTCTTATTATTATAAACCTTATTTGTATGTATTATTAAAATTAAATGTTTCTTATTAGAACCTTATTATTAAAACATTTTACGAAAATTTAGTTTAAGATTATTTTTTACTCCTGCATAAAAATATTAAAAAAAAAAAAACATCGTTTACATTAATAATGTATCGAAGCTTAATTCATAATTGATCTTTATGAACAAGATTTCATTTACCAGTATAAATAAAAATCTAATTGAAATTCATTAATCAAAAAAAATTAAGCTTTAAATTAATTAAAATATTACAAAAAAAAAGAATTATGTCGTTAAAAATTATTTAATTTTGATAACAAAAAGAAATATTTCCAGTGTGTTTCTTTAAGAAATTATTTTTTTTATACAATTTTATTTACTGAAGTATAATAAGTAATATGTAATACACAAGTAGTATAATATTTATTTAAACATAATTAAAAAACAAAAGAGAAAATATTTTTTGGAAACACTAAAATATACAGCCATTCGCCACCACGTAGGAGAGATATAACTCTCGTGGAAGCAATGTTGATTAGGGTGAATATTAAAGATGAAGCGTATTACTAATCGTCGAAGAGTGCGATATTTGTTGTAATACGCAACTATGATTGAACATGAATGAARCGTAAGTAACGTTACTCCTCAGTATCTATGGGGGGATACTGGTGCAACTTTACATCGCARCTCTGTCMTGTAAATCGACAGGTACGCATACGCWMTTTATGATTGTAAAAAATAGAAAAATAAAATAGTAGGGTAAGATTATTCCAAGTTAAAATCTACAAGCTTGATAATCCCCAGGTGTATGTAAGTAAGTATATTTTTTTTCTCTAACATTTCTATGATAACTTTAATGGTTTTTTTATTACGACGATGACATTAATKGTTCTTTTTCTTTTTCTGTTTCAGAACATCATTGCAATCGAGCGCGTAGGCAATGAAGTACTCGTGTGTTGCATCAATAAAATACAATATAAAAAAGTCGGAAAGTAGAATCAGTGTTGATCGTCGCATGTATCGTCGTTTGCTCGGGTAAAGAAACTCCGTAAGTTTCTTTTATTCGGATTAAACGTGTGCTCATCGTCATCCTAAGGGTAGGACACCCATCGTGCATTCATCACTGAAGAATAAACGTAAGTCAATTTTTATTTTAAACACTTTCTTAATAATTATAATAATTTTTTCTTACAACAATGATATTTATAATTTTGTTTTTATTTCTCTTTCAGATCATCATGGGAATATTGCAGTGTTGGAAGTGTTAGTGAATTGTGTTTGTGAAGTGTTGCAAGTGTTCGTGCATTGCAATCGTGCGCGAAGCAATATACGAGAGTGTTTGATCGCGTTTAAATATAATTAAAATCACGGATTAGAAGCACGTTCGTTCGTTAATTTCAATTCCGTCGCGTTCGCGAACTATTTTTGCAATTTATATATTAAATTTACTGCGACCAATGCAGTAATTGCATTAGAGTTTGTTCGAGTAAAGTTGTATTTTTATCTTTAAACAGTCGTACAGACTGTTCGCGTATTAGAGTCAGTGCATCAATGAAGATTTTAAATTCAACGCGTTTCGGGATTAAAATAAAGTGTGAAATTTTTTTGTTTCAATAGACTGTGTGCAAAGCAGTCTTTGGATGCAGTTGTAGAGTCAGTGATCGGGCGCATAATAAATTAAAATCATCCAGAGTTTAGGACATGAAGAAAGAAGACGCATTATGCCGAAGAGGCTAAGGCCGAAGAGACCCCCACTTAATTGTGGCTGAAGAGGGCAACTACATAGATTATTGAGTTATTTTCAAAGGTTCAACAGCAAGTTAGAACTTTTCGAGAATAGCTCTCTAGTCATATTTTATTACATTACTTTTTTGCTCGTCATTAATTTGTAGTTGTAATTGGAGATGATGGACCATTCCATCTCCTTGGGACACCAAATTCGTGTCTATATCGTCCAAAAGATGCATATGTGTTAGTTAGAGTCAAAAATATAAAAATTTTCGTAATATTAAATTTTGTAGCTTAAATAACGTTCGGTAAATATTACGGTAATTTCTTTTTTCTTGTTTCGTCTTTTATTAAATTTGCAATTTTTCTTTTCTGTATAATGCAGCTTAAAAGTATTTCATAATAATTAATAGATATTATTTTTTGTAGTAACTTAATATTTGTACTTTTCCTATTTCTTTATTTTTATATATTTTATGTAAATGTAAAATCACGCGTTTCAATTTAATTTTATTGCAACAGTAAATATAGATTTGATAAAAATAAATAGAGAATTCAATTGAAAAGTGCATCTGCGAATTGGACGAATTATATGTTAGGCTATTGTATCACTTGATTGTATGATTAATATAGTTTTCTTCTTGTTACAGGTGATCATCGTTGGATTTATCATCAAACCTTCTGGATTCTTTTTTATTTGAGTGTCTTAAATTGCTTCATTTTAAAATATACATATAAATGCATTTCTGAAGGCACACACACGTTTATACACTAAAAATTAAAAATAATTATTTCAAATTCTATTACAGTATAAATATACTATATATGCTATCAAAAATAATATCATATACTATCATATACTATCCAAGAATACAGTATTCTTTGATAATATTGTACCGTCATCGCGTTAAGTACCTACCCTCGTCCACTGGTTGTCAGGTTAGTAACCAAGATGAATATGGTTACGCGAGAAGTAGACTTGTGAGCCTCTATGTACTTCTGTATTCTTTGTCTGTGGTAAGAATCTAGACTTAATATTATCTGTTTTATCAATGCAGATTAGAAGCACGTGTTTAATATTATAACTTTGTCTGCATAATTAAAAGGCATAGCTAAGATTACTGCAACTGAGACCCTCAACCAGTTGTTGAATGACATTTAGCCTATAGTATCCTTACTAAAAGAAAAAGTTTTTCTGAAAATTTCAGCTCTGCAACTCAATTATTTTCTGAGCAATCGAAAAAAATATGATTACATATTATATATTATATTATTGTATTATTTTCTTTTGCTTTCATTTTACTTCCAATTTATTAATTATCAAAAGGAGCGCAATTTTTCTGCAATAAATTTATTACAAAATGCCGACGAAACTTTGCAAGAAAATGTAATAAAATAAGCAATATAAAAGATCTTTTCCGTTTTCTTTTAATTATGTCAGAAACTAAGAAGGTATAACAAATGTATCCTTGAACGAATCTCGCTCCAGCTTCTCAAATAGATTATTAGAATATTGGAATGACATTATTATAATGGCTTAACAAATTTTATTTTTGTCTTAAAATACATGCCATTTATAAATACATGTTTGTGAGGCATGAAAATTTAAAAAGCTTTAAATAAAAATATTATAACAGAACTGATTGCTAATTAAAATTATATTAACTATCACAAAAAGAGTAAAAGATATTTCTCTCAAAATATTGAAGAATATCGTCGTTTATAGATCAAGAAACAAATAACGATAATTACTTGAAAAAATCGTATTCGTTAATTGAATAAGTACCATATATACAAGATCTTAGATAAAATTAATTTGCAAACATTGATCTCCATTTAATTCCTTGCATTTTTATAATCAATGACAATGGTTGAGTTAAAGAAAGTTAGTTCGATATGGAAGACAACAAATGCATCGTCGACAATTGCAAGAGTTTTAATAACAATAAGATTGAAACTCAACCATTGCGCTATAAAAAAGGTATCATTACCATGAAGAGATATGTAAGTTAAATTTTATTAATCGCAAACTTGTATAATCATTATGAGATTATATTTACTAATTTTCCACATTGTGAAAGGTTTAATCAGATATGAAAATTTACAGGGAATAATAATAAAAAGAAATGTAATAAACCACGAAGATAAACCACATTTATATATGTTTCTTTTGTTTTTGATAATGAGTCTCACATAAAAATCACAACGTGGGCATCTGTATCATCTCTGTATCAATCTTGTAGATTTTTTTTGTAGTCAATTTCTTGTCTCAGAAGAATGAAATAATTTTTAATTAGCATTCTTTATTTCCTTCTTCTTTTTACAGATATACACAAGTCAAGAGTACTTAAGTAGTCCTTTTAATTTTAGTTACTTTGAGTTATTGCATTAGTAAATAATAAAGAACTCTCAGATAAGTGAAATTCACTTTGTATTAGCAATCTTCATAAATTGCAAATCATTTTTTTTTTCACGTATTATATGTATTGTCGATGAAGCTTTTTAATTGTACTCTTAACAGGCTTATTATTGTGTCATTTCATTTTGTTCCACTTTACTTTGCTTAAACATATACGTATAGTAAAATTTCAATGTATCAGGAAATGAACAATGATAGTATTGTGTAATGATTAAATTTGCAATGCTTTTTTTGTAAGTTCATACGGTCTTGTTTGATACCGTTGTCAACATATATATTATTAATGTATGCAATAAAACGAGGCAAGGCAGTGATTATAGCACATACGTATTTGTATTTACTTAACTAAAAATTATTTCATTTATCAATGTTTTATGCACTTTAATTTTCTATTGCATCAATGTCCAGCGATTTTTAAAAACACAATATTTTAGATAAGACAGTACTATGCTACATTTTCAAAATGAGTACATTATTAGTACAATAAAGGCTTTACTATATTGCACATTTCAAGACACATATTCTTTTTTGCAAAGAATACTTATTAAATTTAGCAAAATTGATAAACTTAAAAATAATTCGATTAAAAAATAAAATGTCGCATAATATTGTCTCTTCCAGAATGTTTGAATTATTTATGATGATTGTACTATACGTTCGTACTTATATCCGTTTTTATCATCAGCATAATAAAACAGAATTTTAATCATGTAACTTTCACGAATGTTCCTTATACAGATTTTGCAGTAATATGATTTATCATTAAAGAAATTGTTTTTTTTCAATCTATATAATCTAAAACTTTATACATAAAATTTGACGAAAGTTACGTGATCTTTATTCTGCATTAATTTATCTAACATAATATATATGTTCCTAATCTCTAAAGTATCTATGAAGTTGACCTAATGTATTTCTTCATACATTTAATTTCCACTTAAATACTCTGCAAGTATACAATTGTAAGTGCAGTACTACTATGATATATATATTTACATAAAGTGAAATTAGCTAGTATATAAATCTTCATGAATCCGAATTCTTCGTCAATCTTATAAATGTAAAATGATACCAACGTATATATTCCCAATATAGTTTCCAAGCATTGCTCACGATACATGGTTTTTGACTTTGTAAAATTTCTATACATGATTGTGGTTTTATTTGCTGATAAATCAACGTGGCTTTGTCTGAAATCATATTTTACAATCCACTGTATTTATAAAATACTAACTTTATGTAGGTATATATGTATATAGATATAATAATATAAGAAAATGACGCATTTAACTATAATTTAACTATATCACATAGACGTTAAATGTAATACCCTGCAATATATGAATTACATAGAAATATCTAACTTATTTTACTGTTTAGAACACGTTACTTATTACTGACCTCTTCGTCAGGAGCTTGAGTAGAAGCAGCTATCGCTTGCTGCGCTTGCAAAGGAACAGTTCCGCTTGTAGGATGAGATGAGGACTGTTTACCAAATTTAACTGTATCCTGGGCTGACTGAGATAATTCCGGTCTCCTAAGATAAGCTGCCTCTTTTTTAGGTGGTACCACTGGTTTATTAGGTGGCACTGGAGGAGGAACGCCACGAGAAAGAGGTGGTTTTTTTGATGATAGTGTGCCAGGTGTTTGAACAGCTTGTGTAGAACCAACGTGAAAACCATGCTTCCCTGCAGTTTGCGTTGATGGTACTAATTTAGCCATCCCACTGGTATTGGGAGGAACAGCTACAACTGGTCGTTTGTCCATAGCCTGAGAAATGAACATGTAGCACAGCCAATTTAACGTTTAAGATAACATTGAAAAAAAGATCACGCCAAGGCACCGATTCAAAGCAGGAAAATCAATGAGAAACAGAAACAATAGCGATTAAAGGTGTCGAAGGTCGTGTAGTATATACGTTATATACTCTATACAGACATTACAAGCAAGTTCTGAAACAGTGGTACAAGAAATTTTGTATTAATATCAAAATAAATAAATGTGTGATAGTGTGCAGTTAATACAGATTCTGCAAGAGGACTTAGGTATGCGATAACCATTTATATAATGTTTCCATAGTTATAATAGTTTAGAAAAATGTTGTGGCTAATGATAAGATGTTTTATTTGAATGAAAATTGTAATGGATAGTAATTACGCAATTTTTAAGTGGTAAATGGTTACTAATTAGGGTGTCCAAATTATTATTATTAAACTTTAACATAATCAAATTATATTATTTGTAATCATATAAATAATTAAGCGATATATTGTGTTTTTAAATTTTAATACAATTAATCTAAGATAGTAATACATAGCTAAAGAAGTTCATAACATGATTGGAAATTATATAAATATGTTTCATGCGATGATGATATTCTAAACGATTGTTCCTTTTTCTTTTCTTTTTTTTTTCTTTGAAAAATGTATATAACCAAACCATATAGATTTAGCAGTAGCGATTATAGGACAGCAATTAGGAAAGATAAGCAGGAAAAAATTGTAAATAAAGCTCAGAAATTAATTGCATACAACTTTTAATCAAGGACTTAATTAATGTACATACTGCATAATAATTTTATGTACATAAAATAAGAATATTATAATAAAATATTGTCCTAAGTATCGATGATGTGGTAACTTATAAAAATGGCATACTAGGTGTCTGTGGTAGAAATATTTCAAGGTTTCACCAATATTCAATAATAATGTAAATAGGACAACCAAATCATACTTAACAAAAAATAAAAATTTCGGCATAGAATCTGTGGCATTTTCGTTATTATTCTTTTACTAAAATTTGACAATATTTCATGATCTTTAAGAAAATTGCAGTGAGCAATTCTTTGAAAGTATATATAAAATTTCACTTAATGAAAAAAGACATTGATGCATGATTGATTAATGAAAAATTGCAAACCTTTAAATAATAATTTATTTCAAATGAAACGTCTTTGATACAACATAAATTAAGAGATAGAGAATATAAAATTATATTAATAGAAAAAATAGGTTTACTCGCTTAACAACAAAATCCTTTTTATACAGTTTATAGAATTAATATAATTTTACAATAAAAATATAATTTGATGCCACAGATTTTATATTTACTACGTAATGTAATATATGTACATTTATTGTGGCTATTCAATAATTACAGACTAAAACATTGTATTTGGTATCTACAATGTTAAACTATAAGACTAGAGCAGGGTATAAAGCTAAAATTATCTATAGATGAATAATATACGCATTATATATTTAATGCAAATGAGTTAACTAAGCAAAAACTTTTTTCTTGACTAGTAGTTATAAGAAAATTTTTCTATTATTACTGAAGATAATGTTTTCAAATTATTTGTAATATAATAATGCTATTACAATATATATATATATGAATGTTGAGAAAAAATATTTGTATAGCTATTGTTTTATAAAATATTATCACTTTATCCTCATCTTTTATTGTCAATTTGTAAAACTATCAAATATGAATTAGAGATGCAAAAATATTTCATATTATTTGCAATCAAATGAACTATTTTCTTATTTTTATTTCAAACTAAATTATCTTTCTTATACTTGTGAAACTTTCCTAGTATAAGTGATCTGTACAAATGCAAACTTTATTTTCGTACATCATTTTGTTACTATTCTTTCTAAGTAGTTATAGTTTCTATAAAGAGCCTATATACTTACATTAGACGTTTGTGCATCATGCAGATTGTTTTTACTTTTCTTTTCACCAAAAAAAAAATAATAAATCATTAAAACTTTACTGCTATTAATTTAAAAATATTTGTTTGCAGTATATTTTCTGTGTAAATAGGCTCTGTACAATTATTAGATTAGAGTAGAATGAGGGTGGAAATGTGAATAATTTACCTGTGTTTCCGATGGGACTGCAGTTTCACCACTCGTTGGTGGTATATTAGGCACATACGTGACTCCACGTAATGCTTGTCCGGGTGTCACCGATCTGGCTATGCCTGTTGCTGTACAATGTAATAAAATATGAGACAACAATAAGTATATAGTTTTAAAAAAGTAATATAGAATATGTAATATCAATGTATTGCAAAAACCAATTGCAAGCCTAAGGGCGCCTAAATCTATTATTATTACAATAACTATCAATACATCTATATTTCTATGAAACATGCAACATACTCTTATAATCGTTTTAATTATTCTTACTTGGTCCACTGACAGGAACACTAGATACAGTTGCAGTAGGTTGGACGACTTTACTACTGACCATAGGTGTCCCAGTTCCCAGTACCGAAGTTTTAACTGAATAAAATATATAACAATAAATATATAACTATATTCCCCCCTATTTTGAATGGAAAATATAATACTTACTTGTTTGTGATGTATTAGCTGGCCTCAATGTTGGCATAGCAATTAAATTTGCTGGTTTTGCAGGCGGCGGTGGTGGAGTTGCCCCGATACCCCTTGGCAGACCCCGCGTTTGTGATTCTTTCCATGCTTCTACTTCACTTTTTAATTTTTCTAATTCTAATTCAAGATCTTTTGCTCTCTTTTCCTCTTTAATAAGAGCTTGTCTATATTGTTGTCTCTCTATATCAAACTGTGCTAATTGTTTTTCTAATTCTGCTTCCATTTGTAATGATTTCTTACTTTCTTCTTCAAGACCCTCAGCCATAGAATCAATTCTTACTTTTTCTTCGCTCAATATCTGTGCCAAATCTTCAGATCTTTTTCTCTCCTCAATATATTTCATTATTATTTTTTTACGTTCGGCCAAAAGTAAGAGTATTATTTGTTTCTGACGGACTTTCTCTTCTTCTAGCGTGTCGGTCATCTTTTTTAATTCAAGTTCTATTCTTTTCTTTTCTTGTTTTTCTAATTCTAATTCTTTTTTTAATCTAGTTCTTTCTATTTCAAGTCCATAAGTAATGTCATCGCCTTGAGCAGTATCGTGCTCGTGTTTACGTTTTTCTTCTTCTAGTTCTTTTATCACCTGACAATATAATAAATCTAAATATTACATTTTGTTACATTTCTAGCCAGCTTGATGATTATGGGTTTACGAAAAGTTTATCAAAAGACAAATACGTACAGCTCTATGCCTTAGTTCGGCATCCTTAAGAACTTTATTCATTCTACATTGAGTTCTTCTTTGTTGCATTACAAGAGCCTCCAAACTGGCAACTTGTTGATCAATTTGATTTCCTTCTGCTCCGATAACACCGCCCACAATTGCAACATCGCGAGCAAGTGCTGCGCGAGGATCTGCTGTATTACTAAGGTACCGTGAACTAAGAAGATGTTTCATCTTCTCTGACTATACAATCAAAGGATTTACACACATATATACGTATGCATATATATATATGTATATATATATAAACAACGTAGAGAGAGATACATACAAATATATTCAAAAGCAGGATCGTGGAAATGCCAATAACTACTTATATTTTCATAAGCTTACTCTATATATGATTTTCTTGTTTGTTTGTTTTTTTTTCTTTTCAACAAAAGTATTAACAATCATTTACCAATGACTATTCATTTAACTTTAAAAACATAATATATATTATTTTACATAATTAAAAATGAAACTATTTCTGCGTAGATAATAGCTTTTGGTAATACCATAATCCAAAGTATAATGTAAGAAAAATAATTACATAGACTGCGTCTTAATATAAGAATAAATTAGATGAAATTACTTTTAAAGCTGCTATCACAATGTCTCTAGCCTGAAGTTCTCCTTCTAGATATCCTAATAGTTTTAATAAATCCGTTTTATTCAACTCCATCTTTGGATTGCGCTGTAACATAAAAAAACATCATGTATGTATAATTTTTGATATATGAATCTATAATTTAAAGTATTTAAAAGGAAATTATTAAGATCCTCCTTTGTTGGTCAGAAGGAATAAGTTGATTAAAAATCAAATCAACATATACAAGAGTATTTAGAGAAGAGCGCGTAACGCGTACGCACACATCGTCACGCAAATATAAGAGAGAAAGAGAGAGAAAGAGAGACACGCATCCTTTGTTTAGTAAGATACGATTGGAAGGTTAATTTGATAAATCGATCGTAATACCTTTAAAGTGTTAGAGGAACTTTTGTCAAGTGGTTCTATGTTATTGGACTGTTGAAGCTGCTGTTGTTGATTAGTATGCGCTGACAACGAGGAAGAAACGGATTGTGTCTTCATGGTAGATACTGTAGTACTCGATACAACAGCTCCTGACTGACCGTCTACCGGCGGCGGGCTTGGCGAAGCCACGTTAATGATATTTTGATTTTGCGATGCCATCATTTTTTCCATTAAATTCTACCTTCCAAAGTTATCTTCTTATTTTGGCGTTGCTTAACGGCACAGGCAATAAAATCCTCAATCGGTCTTTTCGTTGAAGCGTCGTAGAACGAAGAATAAAGATAAAAGCATAAGACCGTTCAAAGTTCTTCCTTCGTAATATATTGCGTTCCGTACTCATGTCGAAGTTGCTGAACCCCTGCTACGATCAAATCGAATAATAAATCCCACATATTCGAGTAATTTGAAATCTTTACTCTTCAATTCTCCTAACACTTCCTTGGGTAAAGCCGATCGATCCTGCATTCGGCTTTAACAGCACAGACTGGCTTCGGCTCTTGACAAATCGATCATAAAGCGCAGCTCGCGGTTGAGAACTCAAGAATTGAGAACCTCGTGTAAGCCCAAGCGATCTGCTCCTCGCCCATTATACTTACTCCATGATCAAGAAAATATCGACGGATCGACAAGCGCGCCTTATTTTAAATCATTACATTGCCGAACAATCGATACAATAAATCTACTATTATATAATATTATCTATGCCGATATATATAAGGTACCAATATTTACCTCCTTTCTTTTTTATTAACAATCTGCTTTTCTTTATTTTCTTACATTTTATTTTTTCAGTTAAGTTTCGTAGACTATATGTATTATCTTTTTATTCTTAGGGTAGTCAAATTATCATTCATCGCTCTAATCTTTTATTTGACTGTTTGAAATTTACCTAAGCTTATTATTTACCGTATACTCTTATTGTACAAACATTTCACTATAATTTAATTTCTTTTTTTTTTTGTATATTTAATTCTATATATTGTTTGTTTTATTTTGTAATTATTTATGTTTAAATAATAAATATAATAATAAAAATATTTCACATATTAACAAAGAGAAAGAGAAAAAGAACAAAAAAGAGAGAGAGAGAGAGAGAGAGAGAATAAACTTGTCTATTAAGTGCACCAATAGTAGCCTGCGACTCTAGCACCTCCTAAGGGTAAGCAAATTTTAGCTGCAATTATTTTTTACACAGTTTCGCTTCTTGTTTCATCAAAATATATATGTATATATAATAATATTGAAAAACTAGTTAACTTCGTAGAAATTGTAATTGCAATTGCAATTATGGCTTCGTTGCAGCTGATTCGAAATGGTATATATTAATAAGTTTATTCAATTATTTACCAATTAATACAGACATTAATATTTTATATTTTTCTTTCTTTTCGGGCATTTACGTAATTTGACGTAATAATGGTATTGTTAAATTTTGAAAAAAAATAAGTTTTATTATTATTATAAGAGAGAATTATGTTTACTGTTCTAAACTTTTAAAGTCACTCAATAATGTCTATTAAATCTTCTTTTATTATTGTTTGTTTTTGTCAATATTTTAAATTAAATAAATATTAACCTCTCTTTGTCTATATATATAAATATTTAATATTATTTTCTATAGGATCTAGGCTCATAACTGTACCGATTATTCAGAATGCATATTTTGTACGCAATAAATACTATTGTGTTACCAAACCAGAACAAGAAATGAATCTTGAAGACCATGGCAACTCATTTTTTTTTCTTGAAATTTTTCGTGGAATTGGAATTGCAATGTCTCATTTCTTTCGAGAACCAGCAACGATAAATTATCCTTTTGAAAAAGGTCCTTTGAGCCCAAGATTTAGAGGGGAGCATGCACTGAGAAGGTATTTTATAACATAATAAGAAATGAAAGTAATACCAAGATCAGTCATGACTTTGAGAATTCAAATATTATTTTAATAATAGATACCCATCTGGTGAAGAGAGATGTATCGCATGTAAACTTTGTGAAGCTATATGTCCCGCTCAAGCTATTACCATTGAAGCAGAAACAAGGCAAGATGGATCTCGTCGTACTACGAGATACGATATTGATATGTCCAAGTGTATTTACTGTGGCTTTTGTCAAGAAGCGTGCCCAGTAGATGCAATCGTAGAGGTACACACATTATTCAATTATATGATTTAATATAAATAACAAATTCTTTCATATATCTCTACTTTTAGGGACCAAACTTTGAGTTTTCTTCAGAAACTCATGAAGAGATGCTCTATAACAAGGAGAAATTATTAAATAACGGAGATAAATGGGAATCTGAAATAGCCAGCAATATACATGCGGATCATCTTTATCGTTAACGAGATCCATGTAGTTTCGTTAATTCACGTTAGAATATTATTTAATAATGTTATAAAATTTAGTATAAAACTAGCATTTGCACGGATAAATATTTATCTGAAATAATGAAAAATATATGTCTTTGTGCTATGGAGCTTATAAGTGTTTATAACAATGTTCTATTTTTGTCCAGAGAACATTTGATAACATTCTATTATTTAGGATAACAAAAAACAATTTTTGTAACGGTCAGGGTAAAATAATTTTATTTCAGTAACTTATTTCTTTCGGTTAGATCAAAATTGTTGCTTATATTTTCGAATAGAACAATATAAAATAAAAGTCAATAATTTTAACATTTCTTTACATGTTAATTTGTATTTCATATTTTATGGGCAACTCTTATTTGTATAAAAATTATTTTCGTTATGTAAATAATAAATGATAAATTAAATATTTTTATCCAAACGTGTATTATGAAATTCAAGGTGGGGTGAAAGTAACTGCTGACAACCCGTATAAATCTCCAATCTTTACAAATCACATAATGACATTCTTTTTTGATGAATGTATATATTTAGTTTTTATTTAATTTAACGAATTGTGAGACATTTAAGAAAATAAAAACAGAATCTTTCAAGCTTGAATGCTATGTTCTTAATATAATGGTATCTATAATATAAAAGCACATTTTGTACAGGCAAAATAATAACTGGTAGAAAAATTTGTTTTATGTATCACTCTTCCATAGTTTGATAGTCTTATCCTTTTCGAGAGCAGCAGAAGCTATAATGTTGTCTGTTGGATGACATGTCGTGCAGAGTACAACATCTGTATGTCCCTGTAATTTTTGCATTACTTCTTTTGTTTGTAAATTCCATATGTACACCATGTTATCTTCAGAACCTGATACAATCCACTAAAAATATAACAAAACAATTAATAAAAGATAAATATAAGAAATGTAATAATAAAAATGATCAAGATTAAATATTTAAAAAAAAAAACAAATAACAAAAAGAACAGCTTGCCTTTCCTCCTGTGACAGAAAAATTGGCAAATATACAATATTTCTCATTCCTATGACCCGTGTATGTTTTTAAACATTTGCCTTTACTGTAATCCCAAAGTTTCAACGTATTGTCCAATGTTGCTGCCAAGATATATTTTCCATTTGGTGAGAATTTTACAAAGGATACAGGTGGATTGTCGTCATCTATAAGTGTTTTTAGACATTGTCCTGATGCTGTATCCCAAATTCGGCTATATTATGATGTAATATAAAAAGATATATAAACCTTTTTATTAACAGGACAAGAATCCCTTGGAAGACAATTAAACAGTAGAAAAAGAAAAGAAAAAAGTGTACAATTTGATCAATTGCCAATATAAAATAGCTTCCATAATTTAATAAATATTTATACAAGACCTTACCAAAGACCATCGTAACTGCTGGAGACAATTAAAGAACCGTCTCTATTGAAATGCACTGCGCTCACTGGATCTGAATGAGCTGGAAGCGTTTTTAAACATTTTCCACTTCTCACATCCCAAATGCGTACACTTTCATCAAACTAATAAAAATTATTCTTTTTTTTTTAAATATATTTAATATTATATTATAATGTATATTTATTTGCATATGAATTCTTTTCTTTTTTTAATGATATTAAATAACTTACTGATCCAGAAACTATAAGATTGGATTGAGGATTAAAATTACAGCAAAAAACATAGTTACTATGACCTTTTAACGTTTTTAAACACTTTCCCTAAAAATTTATAAATAATTAACTTTTAATGTAAATGTTATAAATGAATAACGTTTAATTTAAATTGATCATTTAATTTGACTACAGATAGTGGAATATCTTATATTATTATTTGATTGTTTTATAAATTATTATACATTAAAACTTACAGAACTTAATTCCCATATTTTCAATGTTTTGTCATCGGAAGCAGATACCAACAACCTACTATCGCTAGACCAGGCAACATCCGAAATACCAAGCTTATGACCAGTAATGTTTTTTTCAAATTTTCCATCATAAGATCCCCAAATTTTGATAAATTTGTCAGCAGCTATAAATGAACGTCATTATTATTGCACATAGCATTTCTTAATACGTTTACCTTAGGAAACCTAAAGTCGAGCAACTCTGTGATGTTTAAATAACTTTTTGAAAATGAGCATACTTACAAGAGCTCGCTAACCATTCTCCATTAGGGCTAAACTTAACAGATGATACAGCCTTATTGTGACCTGCTAGCGTGTACTTTAATGAATAACCTGGTTTCTGCAAGTAAAAAATGTAATAAGCTTATCTAAAGATTGAAGTTATTTCTTGAAACTATATATACTTACGATGAATACATATTTATCGTACGAATAAGAGAAACTTACCAACGTTGCACTATTTTTTGTTCCAGTAGCAGATGTAGTAGACGAATTATTAATAGATGATTGATGACTCGGTGAAGGTCCGAGTGGTACCATTTTTTCTAATTGTTTATTAGGACGTTAGACTGAAGTATTTATATCAAGCAATGAGATCCAATATTGTGTCGTCTATCAACGTAAAAGATGAAACGAAGATTTGTATTTGCTTCTTAGGAAGATACTATTTCCTTGAAAAAAGTCTCTTGCATAATACTAATAATAACGTAAATTGTGAATTTTTTGAATAAACCTTCTCATTTCTAACAAATAAACACCACGTGTGTTTAAACGACTCAATCGATATTCTATTTATCAGCGTAATAACGGAGCCATATACAAGGAGAACGATCGAGATAGGCGTTTGCGTCGAATTTGTGTTGTTGAAAATGATTGAATATCGAGTACGATAATTATCCACGAGGGCGGCGGTGATGTTCTTAAATTTAGATTTAAGTACGTGTGATTTTATAAATAAACAAATGAAATTACTAGGTCTCTTTGATGTTTTTGTTTTAATTACTGTTTTCAAAAAACAGACTAAGCAACTAGACGTGCTCTTTAGTAGCAATAGAAATTATTTGTAAATATTGTACCCACATTTATAACACGGCGATCGTCCTCCTTGTATACAGGCTCCATGGGTCAAAGCTTGGATAAATTTGGCGTTCGACCTGCATTCTAGTGGCTGCAGAGTGCATTAGTTAGATGTCGCTGCACTTTTATTTACATTAGTAAGAGTTCTTATTTAGTTATTTCTTTGGTGATCCTAGTTAGTCATTCAAAAGTGTGCCCATGTTATTTTGATTAGTTAAAATAATTATTTAGATTCTTATAAATTTCTATAATAACGCCCAGTTGATATTAAAAAATATAACATAAAAATGTCTAAACGTCCGGAACATTTAGCACCTCCCGAAGTGGTATGTTTTTATTAGATTATGATTTAAAGTACGTAAAGGTTATGTAACACTGTATCACATGTCTTTTCTTTTTTTTAGTTTTATAATGAAGATGAGGCACGAAAATATACACAAAAGTGAGTTTTACAAAATTAAATAGAAATTATTTATTATATTTAATTTTTGACTATCATCTTATTCTTATAATTTGATGTCTACAGTTCACGTATTATGGACATTCAAGTGCAAATGTGTGAGCGTGCATTAGAACTATTATTGTTGCCAGATAATTCACCAGCATTATTATTAGACATCGGTTGTGGTTCAGGATATAGTGGTAGTGTCCTGGAAAATGAAGGACACGTTTGGATTGGAATTGATATTTCTTCTGCTATGCTTGGTAATTATTTCTTTAATTTATCACATAACTTATTAGTCCAACCATATAATGTAGCTTTCCGTATATAAAATGTAGGAGTTGCTCAGGAAAGGGAAACTGATGGAGATTTAATTTTGAGTGACATGGGTCAAGGCTTGCCATTTAGAGCAGGAACTTTTGATGGAGCAGTGAGTATTTCTGCGTTACAATGGCTGTGTAATGCGGATAAATCTACTCATAATCCCAGCAAGAGACTATATTGTTTCTTTTCTTCACTTTATTCTTGTCTTACAAGATCTGCCAGAGCAGTTTTTCAATTTTATCCAGAGAACAATAAACAAATTGAATTAGTAATGTTACAAGCTACAAAAGCTGGATTTTTTGGTGGCATGGTCGTTGATTTTCCTAACAGTACAAAAGCAAAAAAGTTCTTTTTAGTTTTAATGACAGGAGGACCAGCTGCGCTTCCTCAAGCTTTAGGTACAGATGAGGAAAATTTAAATATTGCCTATACGTCGAAAAGGTAGTTTTTTTTTTTTTTTTAATGTATTTCCTTTATCATATTTCTCATCAAATCAAAAATAATTATTATTCCTTTTTTTAAAGAGAATATATTAAAAAAGCAAGAGGTAAACCTTTAAAGAAAAGCAGAGATTGGATCACAGAAAAGAAGGAAAGACGTAAAAAACAAGGTAAACAAGTCCATGCAGATTCTAAATATACCGGTAGAAGAAGAAGTGGTCGTTTGTGGTAAATAAGTTTTTTCTAATATCACCATTATTCTGTGATAAGAACTATTTTAATATATATTTGTAATAATGATAAAATCATCAGAATGTACATATATGTAATAGCATATATATATGAATGTAAGCGTATCTATATACATGTTACACATATTCAACAAAACATTTCATTTAAAAGGATTAATATTTGTAATAAAAAGCTTTCAATTTTCTTTTTAATTCTCTTTTGTTAAATTTTCAATCTAACTACATACGCCATTTTATAAATCATAAATAAATATTTAATAGAAAGATTGGTATTTTTTCGTTATTAAAATAAAATGTATCATTTATCTTATTAATTCTTTCATTTGAAAAGTATTATCCAAATTGATAATTATTGTATACTTCGCGAAACATGTCACGACAGTTCATTTTAACATTAAGTTTTGCACATAGTAAAAATATACCTGATAATTTTCTATGCAAGCTATAGATTTCTTCAGGCGGAGGACATAGTCGATGATTTATTATAGTTGGTACCAGTTCTTGAATTCTTAATTATAATGAATCATATACTATATAATTAATTTCATGTAAAAATTTAAAGTAGAAATATGATAAATTACCTTTTTGTAACATCTTGTCCGCCAAAGTCAAAGTATTCTTGATCGCTTTTAAAAATTTGTCCCAGTATCATTACCGTGTCCACATGAGCATTTTCCATAATCTATAATTAAATTGTGAATTTCTGTTAGTTTTAATAAATATTTTTTATTCTTGCAAGTTAAACATTTCTATATGCTTTTATTTTATATAATATTTATTATATGAATATAATTTATATATATATATATTAGTTGTAAATACCTTAGTTTCATATCCAGTTAAAAAACCCATATCTCTAGATAAATTTAAAACTTTGTCTCTATCTCCCAAACCAGCTGCATTTATAACTTCTATATACTTATCCATGAATGCTTTCTCATAACTTCGACATGCTCCAAAATCCAACAATACGAGCTGAAATGACAAAACATTTCGCTTGTAATATTAATTTATCATGTTATTAATAATATACGTTTTTGTAAGAATAATACCTGTTTTGATTCAGGATTATAAAAAAAATTGGACCAATTTGGATCTGTTTGCATATATCGAAATACAAATAATTCCATCAAACACAAACGCATTATTAGTTTGCATATATATTCTCGCGTTTCTAGATCCATTTCATCGCATTTATCTACAGGAATACCATCCACTAACTCTGTCGTAAATACCTGATTCGTTGAAAATTCATCTAAAAATGATAACGATTTTTAAGATTACGACTACTTGTACGATTATTTATTAGATTAATTTTTACCTATTACTTTTGGTATATAATAATCATTATAAGGACTCATAAGCTGCTTATATTTTTTTGTACATTCTGCTTCTCTCAGATAATCCACTTCCCAAGCAAGTTCACGTTTTGCTACTTCAACTAAATTGTCAATAAACATACCCTCTGGAAACATATTCCAAACCTATGAAAATGAAGAGAAGTTAGAAATAGTTCAGACATCAAATTTGTTTATATTTTTAATACTACCTTCATTATGCCTACTAAGTTTTCGATATCGCTCTGGATACCTGCAGCTACACCAGGGTACTGAATTTTGATAGCAACGTCTTCTCCAGTTAATAATGTAGCATGATGTACTTGACCTATGATAGATAATTTTTAATATTATCTTTTCATACATCGTAAGTATACGTACCAATGGATGCTGCGGCGAATGGTTTATCTTCAAATTTTGCTAATTTATTACGCCAATCGTGACCTAATTCAGAACCAAGTACTTTCTACAAATTTATTAATACATTGTTTAAAAAATATACTTTGAGCACTATATATATATAGGTAAAAAGGTATATAAATATTATACCTCGATTTGCCATTTTGGCATAAAATCGGCACTTTGCCTAACTCTTTCAAAAACTTTTTGCAGTTCTGGACTTATAATAGTATTATCTTGGATACTCATTATTTGTCCAATTTTTAAAGCAGCACCTTACATATATAACGAATAGATATGTATAAGTAACAAATGGATAATATCAAAATAGAATGTTTCTAAATATATCCATTATAATATACTTATCTACCTCTTACTTTGCACAATGTTGTAACAATTCTTTCCGCATTAGCTTTAGTAAGAAACATATTATCAAGACTTTCACCCATTCTGTGTTCCTTTAAACCTAATGATCTACGCGTATATTCTGCCATTGTTCCAATTCCAAGACCAATGCCCAAAGTACCAAAATTAATCATTCTTTGCAGTCTCGTAGAAGGGACAGTTCGTTCTTTTGCATTTACTGAAAGCTTTAATAATATATGTATATATATATACCGAGGTCAAAAATGTATTATTAATAATACTTACTGATTGTTTAGGTTTTACAGGTGGTTTAACATAAGGTTTCATTGGAGCTTTTGAAATGTGTACATCACTTTGTTTGACTTCTGTTACATCATTGGCATTTTGAGAAGAAAGTACATTTTCTGAGACCTGTTTTCTTTCAGCTTTTTCATGTTCTAGCTCTAATCTGTGTAAAATTTCTTTATCTTTTTTAGAAAGTTCAATTTTAGGTACAACATTGTCCATTTTGGTTATTATCTCTATCTTTTCTTTAACAGTTGCATATTTTTTGTTTGCGATAAAATTATTCTGTAAATTATCTTTAGATACTGTCTGTTTTACATCACTTTTTATTGATATATTGTTTTCATCGATGGCCACTTCTTTGGGATCTTTCGCCGGATTATGAACATGTAATTTTGTTTTCTGTACTACAGGTTCATAATCATCTTCAACAGTGTTCAATGCTTTATTAGTTTTAGTTTTGATATACTGTGTCATACCTTTCTCAACGACATTTAAACGATCCAATGTATTTTTTAATTCAACTGCCACTTGTTCCTATATTTAAAATTGTTTATATAAAAAACACATAAAATATGTGTGTATATATATATATATATATATATATATATATGTTTCGTAATACATCTACTCCCAAAGTGGGTCTCACAAATAATGAAATACCCTGTATATACGTTAATCGTTATCACCTACCAAACAGGTATATTTTAATATCTGTTTTTTTACACAAATTTAACTGTGAAACTTACAGGAACCTTACTTGGATCTATGTTATTTATTTTTATTCCTACATCTTTTAAGCAATTTTTAACCGAAGTTCGTAGACTAGAATGTAAAATAAGATATTTTATTGTTTCTTCTTGATATTTTATAAATTCATTAGCAACTTTTTGCGATCCTTTAAGTACACTAATTAAATCAGAAATCCGCGATCGAGACATTCCTGAAATATAATAAATAGAATAAAATAGCAACAAATATATTTTATGTAAATTCATATGATAATGTTATTTTTGTTAACGAAATTTTTATTAGTATTATTTGTTATAATAAAAAAAATTACAAATATTAAACTTTTTTAAATCATGAGCAAATGTTAACGAATTAAATAAAATTCCAAATTTACATGTGTTTGTTCTTAATGTAACAATTATATCAAAACAGCGCAAATATTATTTTATAGAATTTGTAAAAAGAAATAGACAAGTCATTGGATAAATTTATACTGTCTAACAAAGTGTTTATCAAGGTTAAATAATGATTGAGTCATATTCCAATTTAAAATTATCATATGTTTAAGGTTAGTTATGATTACATATGGAATATTCAATGTCATTCTTAAATTTTTTCATCATAAATGTATTATTATTATTTCATTACCTAAATATTATATTAAACACTATTTATTGTAAACAATTATGTTATTATTATTATATAAACATATAATTAAATTAAATTCAAATACACACGTCTAATAGTAACACTTCAAGCCAGAAATTCGATCGTTTCGTAATTGACAATGAGCATATATAAAAAAATAACAAAAATAGAACAATCATTTGTGAAAAATTTATATTTGGATTATTTATTGTTTGTTTATTAAATTGAGAGAATTTTTATTAAAATATAAATATTTTGTTACAAAAATGTAACAAATCATTTATACGCATGCGTGATATTTATTATGTACGAAATTCTACACATTTTTTATTTTTTTTAATTATAAAAATAAAATAAAAGTAAAATGTGTTTAACTAATACTTTGATATATTACTACTTTTTAATATTGATAATGAAATTTTTTGTTCTTACTTTAACGTACCGAAACCACCCCTGAAGTTACATCCACATATTTAGAAAGACTTTTATATAGTATTCATATACTATATCAGTGAAAACCATATATTTGTTACTTTTAAAAATTTATATTCAATAATTATGTGTATTGCAATTAAAGTAAATATTTATTGCGTACTTCAACAATCATTTTTAAAAATTAAAAAGGCATCCATTTTCATTGTGTCTTTTATCTTATATTTAATATGTTACAAGCTCTACAATAGATTGATATGTATATATATATATATAAATATATACGTATAAATGAGTCTGTATATACATATAAATGTAT